ATGTATTGGCTTTTGCTTCAGATTTTTGATGGCAAGAGTACATTCTTTGGTTATGAGATTGTTTTTGGCATCTCTGAACCTTATTCTCCATTTTCCATTTTCCCTTTGAATTACGACATGTGCTTTTTTAAATTTTTGGAAGTGAATAAATTTGTTTGATTCATCAATGTACTTTATTTAGACTTTTATTGATATATGCAAGGAAATTATATGTTATTGTTTTATTTACAAGTTCGTTTAATTGCACTCCCCTCATCAATCATTTAATTTATTATTTTATTTTTCTCAAATTTTTGTGAGGATAGTGAAGTATTTTGCAACATTCATACTTCCTTGCTTTAGGTCATGAGCTTGATTTCGTAACTCACATAGTTGAGCAAAATTTTCAAGAAATGAGTGCTCTTTATTGACTTTTCTAGATAGCTTGTGTGGTGTTTTAGACTAATGACAAGGATCCTGTTTATTCTTCTATGGAATTGATTCACCAAAATATTTTAATGCATTATTATTTCTTATGATGGAAAGTAATGGTTGACCATTTTATGTATCTGATCTTTCCGCTTCCCTGAATCATAATTTGAACAGAGTATGATCATTGAAAGAAGTTCTTTCCATTTAGTTTGTGGGAACTGATCTAAAGTTGTAAGTTTTCCATGGGGACTCCCATAATGATCAATGATTTGGTAAGTTGGTTGGAGAATTGACTTCTCATCTTCTTGCTAGACACAATTAGGGTGTCACACCCGGATTTATAATTTCCACTCTGAAGCACATTACACAGAGCTAGGGTAGGACAAAGGGATGGAGACATTTTTCTTTGATATCATAATATAGCATGTTCCTTTGCATTATTGATTGTGAATTTTTCTATCGTCAACTAATTTGAAATATTTTTTAATTGAGCACGACTTAGAAAAATAATATTTGTATCTTAAAGAAAAAATAATATTTCACCGTAGACTCCCAAAAATTTTCCCTACATTATATTTTATTGAATGGGTTTATTTTATTCTGGAATGCAGACTCATAATGGTAAGCTCCTATGATTAATTACATCCCAAGGTAAGTTCCTCTTGAGAATTTTTTTTTATTAAAATAGTAGTTTACATTTATATTGGCTAATTTAAATTCAATGTTTTTAATTTCAAAGTTTTGATCTTTAGAATTTTAAAGGTGACTAGATAAACTTAGAATTGATGAGTACAAGCTAAAGGAAAAAAGAATAGGAGTATTTGATCATTAGAAACTCGAATTTATACAATACTATCTTATGCTGTGCTTTATAGTTTAAAATAAAATTATTTTAGAGTTGGTTATTTCATTTACAAATTTAGGGCTTATATTCTAATAATGCACAATTAAGAAAATGCCTAAGAAGTAAGAGCTTATGATGTAATTGAGAAGAACATTAATCTCATACCATAGAACTAATGTGAGAACCATTAATGGGTTGTAACTCAATTGGAATCTCACTTGAGGTTAAGTCAATCTAACCTTTGGTCTTATAATATTGTCGGGAATGAATGGCCAACGAAATCCAACTAAATCCACCTAAATGTTTTAAAACTATATAATTTTAATTTCAATGCATATGTAAGATGGATTAGGCTATTTTTAATTTTAAGAAAGATGACGTTTAGCTTAACCACTTGGGTTAAGATTTTTGATCATGAGGGTATACACATGTGAACTCATTATATAATTTTTCATTATCTAGTCATTAATGTGAAAGCTTTTATTTAGAAATGCGACTCACATTACTATGCATATGATATTCATAAATTAAAGATATGGGTTTGATGCTGATTTATAAGCGCTGTTATGGATAAACAATTAGTTAAAATATTAAATCTCTTACTAAGATCCAAAATAACTTTTTGCATTTCATTTTTATTTTGATAAAGTTAGCCTTTTTTTGGATAAACTATACAAGTTTATCTGAAAAAATATTTTACTCTAGTTGATTTTAGGACTGCTTATATTTTTAATAGTAAAAAATTAACTTCCTAATATCTTAACACATATAATGACTAATCTCCATGCCACCCCAAGCAAAGCAATGGAAGAAATGTAAAAGAAAAGCATGCATTTCTAATGCACACTAAAAAATGAAAGGAAAGCTGAGCTATCTTTCTTATACAACCCAGTTGAATTTATGGACTCGGCTTATGGCCCTTTAAGCTTGGGCTTACGATGCATGCAACGCTTCACTTTAGAGTTCATTATTCTAGTTTATATCATTCATTTATTGCATCCCATATACCTATATGACTTGCTAAAATTATGATTGCATTACATTACAAAAAAAAAAAAAAAGATAGTTTCCTTTTAAGTCAAGAATTAGAAAGCATGTAATGCATATATTCAAACATTTGAGTAGATCTAAAACTGAATATATGAAGTGTAATTTTAGTAATAATAGATCTAGTGGGGGGGGATTGTGACTTTGGGCGATCAAGTTATTAATAAGAGTACACATTTTAGATATCTTGGGTCCATCGTTCAGAGTGATGGTGAAATAGATGGGGATATTATTAGTAGAATTCAGGTTGGATGGTTGAAATGGAGGAATGCATCAGGCTTGTTATGTGATAGAAAAATCCCTCTCAAACTCAAGGGAAAATTCTATAAGATGGTAGTGAGACCTGCAATGTTTTATGGTGTAGAATGTTGGCTATTAAAAGAGAAGCATAATATTAAGTTAAGTGTTGCAGAGATGAGGATGCTCAGGTGGATGAGTGGGTTTGCTCTTAAAGACAAGATACAAAATGAGCATATACGTGTAAAGGTTGGAGTAGCACTAGTGGAAGATAAGATTAGATAGAGTCCCTTAGATGTTAGGAAAGTAGATGTATTAGATTTGACTTTTGTTAAGAAAGGTTGAGGTAGACCTAAAAAGACATGGTTAGAAAATATTAAGAATGACCTTTATTTATTAGATTTAGATGAGAATTTGACCTTTAACAGGACACAATGAAGAAAAATGATTCATGTAGCCGACCCCACATAGTGGTATAAAGGCTTGTTGTTGTTGTTTTTGTTGTCATCATCTTCCTCTTTAACATTAATCTGCAAATATTTTCTTTAGGGCATGTGCTCGTAAATTGGCCTGTTTGATCTTATTTATAATAAGCTTTAGCAGAATTGAAGAGCAGATGTAGTAGTAGCATATTTTCCTCTAGAATTATTGTTAACAATGTTTTCACTCCATTTAGATGCATTGGGTGCAACAAATTTAGTTTGAATGCTTTGGTGACAAAATGTATTTCCACTATATGATGTAACGCTCTTAAGCATGAGAAAATTTTGTAGTTATACAAAATCTAATGTAAGTTGAAAAGCTTGCTTGAGTGAGTGCCATTTATTTTGTGTTATTTCTCTTTGAAGATCATGTATTAATCTATATCTATATTTGTAATGTGTTGTTTTTTTATTTATTTTTATTATTTTATTATTATTATTTTTTGTGTTGTTTTATGATCTTCTATTACCTTAAAAAGTATTTTCTTTGGAACAATAGTTCACAGCATAAGTGATGTGGTCGTCATCTCCGAAATCCGATTAGGTTGGTCCAATGAATATGGGGAATGATTGTTAGGGCAAAGGCTCAGATAAGGAGCGACTCATAATAGGCTGCTAAGATGGAAGATTGGAAAATGAACTATATATCCTACATCTAAAAGGGATGAAAGGTTATAGGGTTATTTAAGTAAAAGTTTAAACTCAAAATATGATTTACATTTTAGCAGTATAATTGAAGTTTTGTTGGGAAATTTGAAGTGTACTCATGCTAGAGCATTATTAAAGTGGGTGATCCCTTGGGAAGTTACACCCTTAAAGGATAAAATTGCAGAATTTTGTTTAGAATGGTTTGAGTTGGGCCAATGCGGATAATACCTTACAATATGTCGATTGAGTTTTTACAAGTATCAAAACCAAACCTTATTCAGTTGGGCTTGGATTGAGTTGAATTTGGTGTCATTGGGTTCGTATTTCCGAGACGTTCAGTTTGACTGTAAGTTTGTTGAAATCGGAGTTCATATGGTTCCAATTTAATTTTTGAAGTTTCCAGGTTGATTTTTTTTCCTTGAGATTCGTGCTTGATCCAGATAGTTTTTTTATGATATATCAGTCATTATGCTTGGCTCAACACTCATGTCTTGCATTTTTTTAAGAACACACATTTTTTAAATTTTCAGCAAATTTGTTCAGTTTAGGGGAAAAAATGGCATTGGATATTTATAATGTCGATAGATGCATAATTGATGTATTTCTTATAAGGTAATCCATGAATTATCACAACTAGTTTTGTCACTACAATGCATAAAATTCCATTGATATCGACAATACCGTATACAATCAAATCCTTTAGAATGACTTTAGGAACAAGATTAATAGATTTGTTTGTTAGTGCGTTGAGCATGAACTCTCGGGGAGATTGAAAGAGAGAAGAATATAAAAAATTAATGATTAAATATTGAAATAAAATCAATGAAGAGTGAACTTTTACCAATACTTTTTAGAATTTCTAATTTATAAATATTTATTTCTATGCGTTGTATGATTTTATGTGGTCCTATATTTTTTCTTTTAAACTATTAAAAGGCCTTGCATGAGGCCTTTTAGGAATTGTCCGTGCCATTATCATATCAACTAATTTGAAGTCCACATGACACCTATTTCACATTCGCAGTATACTTATACTTGCATGGAAGAACATTTAATTATATAGTAACGCAAAATAAGCTATAATTTGTATACCATTGTTGCCTTGGTTGCCGCTTGCGCTTGCAGTCACTTGTCATCACCATTCGCTATTGCCTGCTGCCACCGCCTGTCGCTTGCCGCTTGCGGTCGCCCGCCACCACCGGTTGTTTAGCAGAATTGAAGAACCATCCTTTTTATTTCGTATTTATGTTGACAGTTTGGTGTACTACTGTTGCTTTCATTTCATTTATTTATTTATATACTTGATGGTGTATTTCTGTGTATTCCTGCAGAAATGTACCTCGAAGTGGATTGATGCGCAACCTTCAATGAGAGTATGTGATATGCCACGAGGAATATTTTCTCGAGGTCCTCTTCTTTTCAATGATTCCTTTCCTACTACCTACCTGCTTAGGTTTTAGATCGAGACATGCCATTATCTCTGCTTTAGATTGAGATTGGTAAGGAAAACATCAAGGGAGAAGATGGGTCTGCACCTGACATTTTGACTAATGGCATACTAGTATTATAGGAGTGAAGCTAAAGATTCTAACTTTTTGTGTGACCTTATCTGATAATAACTTTGTTGTTTGGTTGTATAGGTTTCTAGGCCTCTGTAATTTCATCAGTATCATGATTTTTTTTTTCCTTATGTATTTTGGGTTGTGAATATTATTGTAATTTCAGATAGCCTTGTTGCTTTCACTAAATGGTTGTCTGATAATTTCAGTCTTTGATTTATTTGTTTGCTCCCTTTATCTGTTGTAACGGTAAAATGGTCAGATAGTCAGGACATGAATGCAGTTATAGCAAATATCAAGTAATTCGTTCTTAGGGCTTTTTCCTGTTACCGTTTGAAAGTGGTTGAATTTTACTTCTACGAGTGAGTTCAAATTTATTTCAATTTTTCAAAGCAGGGTTTCACTCTTCAAGAAAAAATGAGAATGTGGGGGCGTATTTACATTCTGACATATTAATGGGATGATTAACATTATAACTTGCATGCATTCTCTTTATCCCATTTAAGGATCGAGCTTACAATATTATTATGGACCATGTGATGCAAAAATAAAAGCTGTCTAGTAGGGGTGTGTATTGTGTACGCAATCCGAACATAGAATTGTGTTCGGATGCTGTGTATTTACTTCTTATTTCACTGCATATTTTTTGATACATTATGTTTTCTACGTATTTTTTCGTATTTTTTGAGTATTATTTATTTGCTAATTATTTGTCACGAAAAAATTATGTCTCAAAAAATACGCAACAAAATAAGCAGTGTGTACGCGCATCGTACACAATAATTTCTGTCTAGTAGAGGACCATGCATGCGCAATGATGTAATGATAAGCTTGAGTTCTAAAAATGCTGTTTTATATTTGGACGAATGCGCAAACATTTGGACAAATGTTGAAAAGGTAAAGTGATTATTTTTGTATATTGAAGAAATTTAAGGGAGAATAAATTTTTTATAAGTTATAGTTGGATATGAATTATACACAAATAATCAATATTGGCAAACAAATTACTTGATAAACTTTAAAAGACTAAAAATTAGGATATATAATTTATAAAAAAACTTTATGAATATGTTATCTTAAATATAGTTTATTTTTATTTTTATTGAATATCTTACATATTTTGTTTTTTGGAAGAAAGTAGTGGCAAGATAAGTTGGGCCGTCTGAGTAATGTGGTGCATAAGTTCAATGCATGATAAACTTTAAAAGACTAAAAATTAGGATATATAATTTATAAAAAAAACTTTATGAATATGTTATCTTAAATATAGTTTATTTTTATTGAATATCTTACATATTTTATTTTTTGGAAGAAAGTAGTGGCAAGATAAGTTGGGCCGTCTGAGTAATGTGGTGCATAAGTTCAAGTGATTTGTAGTTCATATTTGAAAATAATAAAAACATCTAAATTTTATTTGAATATTTTTTAATATAATTTGATTTATTTTTAAATTTTAAATATTTAAATGCTACTCAACTATATTGTATTCATATTAAAAAAAAAAAGAAAAAAAAAGTTGCCAAATAGACTATCATTTTTTTTAAACAAATAAAATTCTATTAAAGAGAAAAAACACAATAAAAGACCACTCCTGGGCCACATCAATAAATTATAAAGTAAGAGAAAAGAAGCAAGTTAAATTGATAAATGGATGAGGAACATCATAAATGTGCGGACTCAAACTAACACCGGGTTGCCAGGGTGGGACTATCTAGGGGGACAACAAATTCCAAAACGAAAAGCAGCCAAATCAGCAAAACGAGCCACCTAGGTTGCCAACTAACTCTGGCCATCAACAGCGCTTGCAGTAGAACTACTTCCTCATCGTCCATTCTGAATCAAACACAACAACGAAAACCAGAAAAAGAACACAAGAAGAAAATCATCTCTTCTTGGATTTTCGTTTACATTGCGAAATAAACTTATCAAGCGAGCCCGTTTCGATATTGGTATCATCCTCCCCACTAGAAATCGTCATGTTATAATGCAACCAATCACATTGCCACCTAACTAAATGGGAAAGCAAATTAGCATTCAAGATAACCAAAATAGACACGTCAACTAGCAACACCTCCTCACCTGCCTCCCCATCAATGCTATCCAGGCCTATCTAAATTTGGTCCGGGTACTATTTGGACACATCCAGTTCAACCAAAAAGCGCGCAACAGACGGACGTGTACCAGTGGAGGTAGCATTGTCAGTTTTTAAGGGTTTGCCAAAAATCGAGCCTAAGCCATGAAGAATACATGGGGCAATCTCAATATCCAAGATAGGTGACCATTTAATCAATTTCATATAACAATTACTCACAAAATACAACCTATGAGCAAAGACCCTACAATAATCTAAATCGTTAAAGAGCTTAATCAACATATTACACTGGTTAAGAACCGTGATAGAAACATCGCCATTTAGCTTACCTATTTCTTCTTTTCTTGAACGGATAGTCTAATCGAAAGTTGACCCTAGCCGGATAAAGAGTAGAGTTGTTTAAAAGCTTGAAAAATAAATTCCTAATGTCATCAAGGGATGGCCTTCGGCCAGGGAATTTTCCAACCCTAGCAAATTCAAACGAAGCAGCCATCGATTGGATTTCTGCCTCCGAAATCCACATAGCAGGCAAACCTCTATGCGAAGAAACCTTAAGTTCGAGAAAGATAATGGAAGAAGGCGAAGAACCCGAAAGAGCATCCTTAAACGAAAGAGTGGAGGATCCAACCAAACAATTAGGATCCCTAAAACGGGGAGGCGCCATAAACCCAAAAAAAATAAAGAAAATGACGTCGAAGAGCATAAGGAGAAGAAATTTCCCTGAGGCACTCGAGGAGAAACATCCAGCACGAAAAAACGGAGGAGCGGCCGGAAGGAGCGGCTAGGGCGATGCCCTAACACACCCCAGAGAGCGAGAGAGAAACATCGCAACTTTTTGGCAGTAGGCTCATCTGAAATAGCCTATCATTTTAATTATTCCAATTAATGTAATTAGGGTATAATCGAACCGAGTTCAAATGAGTTTTGTGTGTATTTATATTCTTCTAATTTGAACTTTTTGTGTATTCATGATCAATCTTTTTTAATAATTTATAAACATAGTGCTCGTATTCAACTTATTAGAATTCAAGTAGATTATCAATTAGTGAAGATAAATAAATTATAAGCTAATGCAGATTAATCAATTGATAGTTATTTTGAATTAATTTTTTTAATAAATCAAAGTAATATATATATGATCGGTGATCTATTATTTTTTGGTTTATTAAAAAAAAAATTCAATCAATATTGTGAAGAAGATTTTATAGGCGCTTTAAAAATGTTCTCTCTGGATTAGCAGAGATAAAAGAGAATTGTTGTCGGCGCGCGTTTTCTTGCCTATCGGTCATCCCTACAAGCCTCGTTGCGGCGTTGCGGCGTTGCGGCTTCTCAGCTCCTTCGTCTTGATCTCCCGTCTTCGTTTCCTTTTGCGCTGTCAGTTATAGAGTGGAGGCAGCGGTTTCAGGTTCGTCTCCATTTCTCAACCATTTATTGTCTGAAATCTATTTAAATCGAACTCCGCATCTGATTGGCATTGCAATGCCTTTCGAATTTGGGAATGGTGAATGCTTGATTTAAATTTGGCTGATTTAGTGGACTTTAACCGATGCAAGCAACCCAAATGGGAGGATGAAAGGGGAAAAAATGTTTTTTTTTTCGTTTTTCCGGTCAATCTTGAATAGGGTTAGGCATTCTAGTAAAACGGGCGAAATCGTTCTGCTTGCTTTGAGAAGGCGACCTGCACATCAGCTTTTGCCTGAAGAAATAGCAGTTGATGCTTCCATCTACGGATCTATCGTCTCTTGGTTTGAAGCAATGTGAGGATTGATAAGATTAGGGTCATTTTTGTTTGCTTCGGAGTTCAGAATAAGAAGAGAATGGTCGGCGTGGGGTTTGGGGGTGGAAATTAAGAAAAATGATGCTCTATTTAACAGTGCTGAACTGTCTGGTGGCTTTGGTGAACTAATGTGCTTGCTGTGTTAGGAGGCGTGTGTACTGTCATTAGAGAGGTAAATAGCAAACTTTGGCACGAATTTTAAGCTTGTCAATATCTACCCATTTTAGTTTAGGTTTGGGTCAGAATGATCAAGCCATCTCAGTGACCTGAACCGGGCTTAGCAAATGGTTGGTCATGAACAAACTTGGTAATCACTGGCAAGGTTTAAAATTATGCAATTGGGTATTGAGGCGTTTTACATTCGTGAGGCGAGGCGTAAGCTTCAAAACTCTAAAAATTATGTAAAGTCAAAATAAAAGTTAAAAGTAAAATTTTATATAATATCCAAATTATATGTTAAAGGATGATATATTAACTCTCTATTAAACTATGAAGCAATAAATTTACATACATATGAAACAAAAAATTGTATAAGAGGTAAATGTTAAATGATAAATGATGTGAAATAGAATTGAAATTCAAATATTACAGGAACAAAATAATATAAAATATATGATTGCATAAAAGTATCATATAACATCAAGTTCAGATCTAATTTTTTTTCTTTCTCAGTTGACTGCTCATCTACATTAATTATTAAAGAAAGCTAAAATAATTGACAACTCAGAAATCATCTGTACTATCATTATTAAGAGGACTTTTATTTGAGCCACTGTCATAACAAATTGATCTATTTCCTGCCTCATCATATAGGGTCCAGTACCTCTCAATCTGCTTATTCTTCATTTATTTCAGACATTTTTATCTTTCATAAATGTTTGTCATTAACATAAATATAATACTCCAATATTTTAAGAGGAAATCGTGGTGGCTACGGTGATGGCAGTGGGTTGGAGGTCGAGGCAATTGAGAGTAAGTTGCTGCGGCTTTGAGGTGCAAAAAGACATGATTTTTTTGGGGCTTTTGTATATGATTTAGGTAAGTTTTAAATTAAAAAAATTCATAAAAAGAGTGAGGCATACGCCTCATGCCAATGAGGCGATGAACGCCTTAAGGCGGGTCTCATCCAAGATGAGGCGTAAGCCTCATAAAAAAAGCTCGAGGCGTAACCTTTCTCTAGCTTCTCAGTGCCGCTTGGTACCATTCAATACCTCTCGGTACCGAGAGATATCTAGCATTGATACTGAGCATTATACCGAGCGTTGCGAAGATGTATCGACCAATACCGAGCGGTACGGAGTTCCGGTACCGAGCCTACGATTAAGAAAACGAAGAAAATGAATCTTCACTGCTCGCGTCGCCTTCATTGTTCGTGTCGTCGAGCCGCTCTGTCAACGAAGGATGATCATGTTGGCTTTAATGCTCATGTCGTCGAGCCTCTTCGTCAACGAAGGATGATCCTGTCCTCTTCTATGTTCGCGTCGTCGAGCGCTCCTTTGACTGCAATGAAGAAAACGAATGCCTATGCGGAAACAAAAAACCTAGCTAGCCGAAATGTTTAAGCCGCATGAATGAATAGGGATATTGAGCGGGTAGCCGAAATGAATAGGGCAAATTGCAGCTCCATTTTTTTTCATTTTTTTAACAGGACACCCGTATCTGATACGTGTGTCCTATCAAATTTAAATAATATTTTAATTGGGGCACGACAAAGCCATATCGGAGGCGTATCTGTATCCGACGCGTGTCCGATACAACATGCCTCGTAAATAGGAGTATCGGTGCTACATAGGAAGCAACTCATGGTTTCCAATAAGGATCATTCAGTAAGATTGGGTTGACTAACTCCTCTGAATAAGGAGATTATAAATCATGAGAAATTTGGGTCGACGGAACATTGAGATCTTGATTAAATTTATCATCATTCTTTTACCATCCGCTTTAAGTGAAAGATGATAAATTTCTAATTTGAAACATTAAAACTAATGCTACTATACATTTGGTTTTAAGTTTGTATTTACTAACCGGCCTTAATCAAAGTCTTGTCTCTTCATTAAGAGGGGTAATTAATCATAGGGGCTTGCGCCTATGGTAAGCCTGAATTTAGATATTAAAGTCATTGCTTATGAGGTCGAAATCTTTGGATTGTCTTACCTTTAATCTAATTTTCCTTATAAAAACTTATCTCGGCTGTTAAAATTATATTAGAAGCACGCGAAGATATTAGGGTGCCAAATTTTTTTGGAGCGCACATTATGGACTAGGTCATTATAAGTGATATCAAAGCTTAAATCTCTTATAGTACGTCATATGTTTTAGGGACGAATCAAGTTGAAGATGGTGGGCTTGTGATATCGTGAATCTATAGAGGGTGGGGAGTGATCTTTTGGGTTGAGGCCTAAATAAGTAGCAGCTCTTGGCAAAATTATAAGATGGTATATTTCTTGGAGAAAATCGAGCAGGGGTGAACCAAATCTTAAATTCTAAGGAGAGGAAAGATTATTAGGCTTTTAAAGTAAAAGGTTAGATAAATATGCTAGGCTATTTTAATATAGCAATTAGTGTTTCAATAGAAATTTCATAGTTAAGTGTGCTCGTGATAGAACATTATTGGGATGAGTGACCTTTTAGGAATGTAAATAGAGAAAAATTGTGAGATTTAAACTAGTAGAGGATGTGCTTGGCCAAAGCTGATAATACCTTGCATAGTGTGAGCTAGGTCATGACAATGGAGAGGCCGTGATACCATATGAGACAAAGACAAAAATGAATAGAAGATTTCATATTGTTTACTGCAAATCATTAAGGTGAACGATCCTGCCCTATGGACCATCTATGGTTGTGGAGTAAAAATAAGGACATGGCGAGAACATGGGCTTAAGCGAGTGAGTATGTGTGTAAGGTGTGCTTGGGCAACAACTTAGGCTCAGGAGTGAGTGAGCAAAAATGTGGAGATGCATCTGGGTGACATCATAGATGCAAACAAGTAGGTTGTGAGGGTGGGCAGCTGGCAAGTGAGATTTAGCATTAGGCAAGATAGGGAGGCTTCACGAGCTACTGGACAAGATGCTGAGATGGTGAGAAACCAATAAAGAGGGCTGCCTGAGTTTTCTTGCTTTGATACTATGTCGATAGTAAAGAAGATTTATATGTTATTGATTAAATATGATGGCCTATTTATTGGCATATGAGATAGCACAAATAAGAAACAAATTATGGAGAATAGTATCCCTAATTATGATGATATAAAACTATATCTGTCTAATATAACCACTTCTCAATATAATGAAAATACCTAATCTTCCAATTAGCTACTACACCAACATTATAAATATATTTAAAATCCCCTGCAATACTTAATAGGGTATGAATGAAAAAAATGAGGTTCCAAAATTTAGACTGCATAATTGAATGATGATTTGCTGCTTCTTTTTTTTTTGTTCCTTTTCGTTCTTGTTTGTGAGTTCATTTATGTGGTTTGAGATGATGATGATTGTCTACATGGCTTGCATTTTTTTTTTTTTTTTGCTTCACCTTTTTGTTCTTGTGTGTAATTTATATGGAGCTGGATATCTGAAATTGATTTTTGGTTCATTTTAGGTTTGCATAGTTCAGACTCGAGCAAGATCACACAATTCGGCGCAAACCTTCTACTTATTGGTGGTAAGGCAGAAGACAATGTTGTTTGTTTGAATATCAAATAGCAATTCCAGTTCACAGTAAAATGCTCGGCAAAGCAAGATCTACTTTGTGGTGCAAGCGCAGACACCAAAACACGGTGAGGCAACAACAGAAGTTTTTCTTGATGACATTAGACGATATTGCATTCGGATGAATTGGATCACCAATAAGATGTGCGCACCTTGTGGAATGCTATTAATCCTTCTTTTTTGGCACATTTCTCTAGTACTGTTGACAGCACTTGAAATAAGATTCATGGTGTTTTAAATTTATTTCTACTTAACTACATTGCTATGTTTGGTCCATTCACTTATGTATAAACCATCATCGTACAAAAAACCATGTGTGAAATAAGTAGTCTTTGATATATTCATTTCACTGCCTTTTTTCCAGGTAGCTTATTGATAATGTTTACATAATCTCATTTTGTCACATATGGCGATTAAAGGAAGTTTCAGAGGACTTAGGGGTAAAAAACATTCCCTTGCCATTGCTGCAATCTGCTCAGCACTTATTATCTGGACATGGGAAAAAGCTACTCTTCTCACCACTCTCCTTCCGCCACCTAATTCATTTGAGATGGTTCCTTCTCCAGGTCAGTTAAGAGGGAGCTTATATTACAATTATGCAGTCTAATTTTTCTCATGCGTTCTCTGTTTTTCTTATTTGGATGCAGTGATTCTTAGAAGTCCTGTGCACCACCTAAAACATGATGAAAGACGACAATATGTAGAGCATGGTTATACAGATTCAAACAGCATAGATGTTACGCTGACTGAACGAATAGATCCTGCAGCTGTTATTTCACCTGTTAGTTCGGAAATATCAAGTTCTTTGATGACAACAAAGTTGGATGAAAGTATTGTAAATATGCCCATGGAGAAGAAAGGTCAGGTGACTCATCTCTCCTAACATACCATATTGCTGCTGCCTCATTTATTCTTCTTACTGTTTGTGGATCTAATCATGATCATCATCATTCGTCTTATCCCAACTATTTGGAGTTGGTTTTTATAACCCTCATTTTTCATTTGTTCTTATTGAGTGGTGTTGAACTTATTCTTAAATTATTTTGAACAACTTCTGTACATGTTATCTTACAATTACTCCTCCCTAATTCCCTGACTCTAAATTTTTATTGAAGTAATTTTATTTTATTTATTTATTTATTTTTTTGTTTATAGCCAAACCACCTAGATGGTTTGGTCACATAAAATGATAGCCTTCCGATGACCCGGTTAGGAAAGTAGATATTGTAGATTTGACTTGTGTTAAGAAAGGTAGAGGTAGACCTAAAAATACTAGGTAGAAAATATTAGAAATGACATTTCTTTATTAGATTTAATTGAGAATTTGACTCTTAACATGACACATGAGAAAAAAGATTCATGTAGTTGACTCTATATTGTGGGATAAAGATTTGATGTTGTTGTTGTTGTTATTGTATAGCTAAATCACCTAAGTGTATTTTCAACTATCTCATCTTTTCAGTAGATGCCATTCCAACCCTTTTAATATAATTATTCCTTAATTTATTCTTATATTTTTCCTCACATATTAATATTTTCTTTTTCATCATACTTAACTTGGCTATCAACTATTTCCTTACTAATTTATTGCTGATCTATTTGTAATTTAATAAAATTTATATTTAAGTATTCATGATCTTCTCTTAACATAGAAATATTTGAAGGAAGCTCAATTTGTTTTATAAAATTTATCTTTCTATTTTTTTTTTTTAAATAACACTTGGGATACATATTATATCACTGTCCTTAATCCTTATTGTTTTATTGTTTGTGGCTCCAATAATGGAAAATGTTGATGTCTGTGCCACAATATTTGTAAAACAGTTCTCCCTTTTATTGCTTGTTTATATTTTTGTTGGTCCCGACTTTCTGTAAGATATTGTGCTTCTGAGTGTATGCGATTTATTTTGCTGCTGGTTTCCGTAATCAAGTATACTGTTTTGCCTTAGACCATCAACTTCAGTCATCATTCAGCACCATCGAGATTGTGTCTGGTTTAAAATACTTTTGTTGCTATTCTTTCCTAATAAATTTTGCATGTTGTATCAACTTTACTTGTATACTTTATTTTGCACAACTTTTAGACATGTTACTTTAGGCCTTAGTTTGCCTTACTCATTCCTACTCTTTTTGACATTAATGCATCTCCCTTGTTGCTTCATGCTTTCCTTTTTGTTTATGCCTAAGCTCTCTGTTGTTTTTATAATTTTAGTTGCGGTAGGTGTTATTTTCATCTTCTAAGGTAATTGATGTGCTTGTTATTCCCACGAGCATAGAACTACAGAGTACAGCCCATAAAGAAACAGTAGCTGTAAAATCTGAAAGCAAGAATAGTACCGAGGGAGTCATGCATGAATTGCCTGCTCCATGAATCATCTATCCTTGTTCAAGTGTGAAGCTTGCATATTGATTAATTCTAATTCTTTTTTCTTTTATTATCTCTTTTTCTCCCTCTTCTCTTCTCATTATTTGAGGTTGAAAGTGGGACTGTTTGATCTGTTATAATTATATTTTTTGTGTGCAAGAAATTTTAATGATACTTGTAGCTTTCATTATCTTTAATTTCTTATAAGAAGCCAAGATTGATTTTTGGTGCTAACTAAGGAATTATACGTTTGGCCGAAACATGAAGTATATGAAATATGTTTGGGAGTTTGTTAGTAATCAGGGAACAAAGCTGAGTTACTTCAACAATGAGCGAGTTATTGAAAATGAGAAGAATCATAGAACAATCACACAAATAAAAGTATTTCAAGTGATTTGATTTTGTAAACTTTGTCACTATGCAAGGGGTTTCCATAGACTCTTAGTGATTTTTTAAAGAAATTACAAGAAAGATGTTAAAAAGTGGATACAAGAGTTTTCTCAGGAAGTACAAGAAGTCTAGAGAGAACTTTGGTGTTCTTGTGATTCTACCTTTATAATTTCCACTAGAAAATTTTGCAGGCATTACGGAAGGATTTTGATTGAATTGTAGCTATTATTAGGAATGAATATTACGCTTTCGGAGGGACTCTTGTGAATTGGTCAAGTCTAGTGCTTGAACAATCATCTTTGCATTAAATGTTCGTCGCTTATGATGCATAAGAATGAATATGATTTTTTGGTGATATTTGAATAAATATGAATAAATATGAATGGAATCTTCGATGTTTGAGCAAAATATGTCTTAAATAGAGATTTTGTAATGGATATTTTTATAATTGTCTCATTTGATACGTGGATGACTCAAATTTGATTGTCAAAATTGAATCTTTATTAGATTTACTTCACCACTTGGCGAAGAAATGCTTGTGTGAAGTCTAAAATATCTAAAAACGTCTTAATGGTAAGGGTTTTTGAATTGGTGCTTTTTATGGACTATCCAATAATGGAGAATAAGAGATAGTCAGTGGACAATGATATGGGAAAGTATTAATAATAGTTCTTTCATGGAGTTGATGTATTCGATCCTTAACTCCCTTTTTTGCTGAATTCACTTGATAACTTGATAAAATTTATAGTATCAATGCCAAATTTATAGAAAAACCAAAGGAGAGAGAACTTTGTATTCCCATGTGGTAAAGATTGTAGACATGGGAGATGAGAGAATTTTTGTGCATTATTCAGATATTACAAGAATAAATTTTGATTAGGATAAAAAGGTGCAGAAATATTTGATGATGCCAATATTGTTATTATTAAAGAGAAGAAAAAGATGTTCATGGTGTCTTCTAGGCATATGGCATATAATATCACAAGTGACAGTGGTATGAAGTATGATTGACAATGCAATATTATAATAGTTATAACCAATTTATCAATTATTGTTTCAAACTTACATGATAGATTATTTGATATGGAAGTAATTTGATAGTGATTTCTATGTAGTAGAAATGTAGAATACATAACAAAATGCTCATGTGAGTATGAATGCCATATTTACATATCTAGAAATTACTCATAAGTTATTTGTTATTATACATAGTACAAGTTTGTCGTTTGTAATATCCTAAGACACGAGGAAGTTTTTTCCCAACCTAATGGAATCTAGTAACCCCTAGGCGAGTTGTTCACTCTAAAACTCATTTGCTTGACTTACCAATTATGTCAACTAAAGGGTTCTACTGACAAATCACATCCATCAAACTTACAAGCATATCTTATATACATATTATATTAAGAACAGTGTGTTATTCCTAATGAGAACTAGCTCAGGTGGCATACTCCATGGTTCTTAGGGTCAAAGTCTCAAGTTCAAGATTGGCTTATGTACCTTGCACGAAGCTACTTCTTATGTGAAAAATTTGAGTTTGTATCTAGCTTTATGCCTTATAATAAAAAAAAAATCATCTAGGATATATTTTTATCCTTGACAAAGTATCTATAAACAACTTGATTTCAATTTACTTCATATTGACAGAGTCTATGATTAATATGAGCTTAATTTATTTAATATCAACTATGAAAATGCACATCTAAACATGTTATGAAATCACATAGTTCATTTAAAAAGATTTGAGTTTGTTCTGCAATTAACAAGGTAAACCTTGCTATATACATCACATGATATTGCAATATGAGCTTAAAAATTTTCTCCAATTGTCTAAGATATGGATGAGAATTTTTTAGATAGACAATAGTAAGCCTATAAAAGCTGTTAATGATAACGCTCTTAGCAAAAAAATAAAAATAAAATCATCCCCAAATAAATAAAGTTTACATATCTCAAGATGTAGCTCTTGAACTTAACACTCCCATGATTAAAAAGAAGTAACAACAAATGAGAGCTAGCCAATATATATATATATATATATATAATATATATATAACCACCCTTTTTTAGCTGTTTAAGTTGTGGTAAGATGAATGTCTTGACAGTGATTGCGCTAATTATTTCAAAGAGCAAAATGAGCAATTCAACAGCTCTCTCGCTCTCCCCCCTCCCTTTTAATGGTTAATGTAACAAACAAAGAAATAGGAAGAAAGCTAGAAGGGAAAAAAAAAAAAATGCTTGCTGTAGGATTTGGTTTAGGTGTTTGTTTCGATTGAAGAGGATGATGTGGTGAAGGTCCTTTGGTAACTTGGTTCTTCCTCCTGCTAAAATTAATGAAAGAAAATAGGGATCATAATAATGATTGGTGATCACAACATTGCCAAGAAGATGTTTAGGAAATAAAGAATTAATGTGCTATTATTTCTGAAAAAAAACCCAGCCTCATCCACTTAATATTGTTGTTAAAGGTCACGTGGTCCTGCAACATCATCAGCTAATGCTCTTCATGCTCCAAAAAACTACTCCCCTCCCTATGCTTCGCACTCAACTACACTCATCATGCTCCCGTGCATTAGTTGTCCTCGCACTTGGCTCTTGCTATCTCGTGCTCAACCCCTGTGCTTGCGATTCTCGCACTCGTGTGACCCTCCTTGCACTTTTATTACACTCGTGTTCCATGTGATCGGTATGCTTTCTGCTTGCACACTCTTTTGTAGCCCCTACAATCATCCTACGCTCATAATATATGTGCTCAACTTGCTTCAATCGCATGCCCTTATTATTTTGGTGTGCACTCGTTGCTTTTGTTGTAGTGCAGCCCTATTGTGCTCGGTGTTCTTTGGTTTCCCTATGGGTTACCTAGTTCTATCTTATTGTGCGTCTGGGAGCTGAACAGGTGCTTTTGCCTCTTCTTTAGGACATGATGTCGTCTCCAGTCTTGACGCCTATGGTGTGGACATTACTATTTTAGGCTGACTCGTTTCTTATGAACTTTTCCTCTACTGCTCATTTTTAGATTCATGTGATGTCGCAGCCTTTCACTTTGGATCTCTCATCAGCATCCACTTCATCCAAATCATCGATTGCTCCTCAGGTCCAACCACG